ATAATTAATATTCACGTCGCACCTCAAACCCATGGGTTTAGACGATTGAATTTCTTGAACCTTCAACATCGCACCTTTAACTTAAGCATTCAAAGGATTGAGTTTTGGTTCGTGATTGATTTTGACATCGCACCTCGAACCCGTGGGTTTTGAGGATTGAATTTGATCAATTTTTGCCTTTTAAGTCTTATGGAAGTCCGTGGCCCCCATTTAATTTCTAATCGAACTCGGAGTCATGAAATTAAATAACTCCATTTATTAAAAGTTCCACCCCTTGAAAATTTTTACAAGTCCATTTTAGGACCATTTTGACATTTCAAGGGTAATAGCGCTTCAAGTGCTCCGCATTCCATGGATGCGCAAGCACTCTTCCTTCCAGATCGGCCAGCATATACGTTCCAGGTCGGACTATGCCTTTAACCTCGAACGGTCCCTCCCAACTCGGGTCAAGGGTGCCCACATGACTCTGAATCTTCCTTAAGGCTAAATGTCCAATTTGGAAGCTTCGAGGTCGAACTCGGGCATTGTAATGTTTGGTCATTCTGTTCTGATACTCTGCTAAGCGCAGCTGAGCCATTTCCCTTTTTTCTTCCAATAAGTTAAGGTTAAGGAGTAACTCTTCCTCGTTCCTTGTTGGCTCGTACTGCTTTACCCTGTCTGTTGGTATGGCGATCTCTACTGGAACAACAGCTTCGGAGCCAAAGGCTAGCGAGAACAGAGTTTCGCCAGTTGACTCTCTCGAGGTGGTTCGATATGACCATAACACTTCGGGTAGCTCCTCGGCCCATCTTTCCTTTCTGGAGTCCAACCTCAGCTTAAGTCCTTGTTTTATAATTTTGTTTATTGCTTCGACTTGCCCGTTGGCGCTCGGATGAGCAGGGGACGAACTGAGATGACTTATTCCCAGGTTACTGCAAAAGTCCTTGAACTTTGCATTGTCGAAGTGCCTTCTGTTATCAGTCACGATAGCATTTGGTATACCAAAACGACATACAATGTTTGCCCATATGAAAGATGTGACTCTGGACTCCGTGATGTGGGATAGTGCCTCGGCCTCGGCCTACTTGGTGAAGTAGTCCACAGCGACAACGACGAACTTGGTTTGCCCTTTGCCCAGGGGAAAAGGACCTATGATATCTACTCCCCACTGCGCGAATGGCCACGGGTCCGAGATGGGGGTAAGCAGTTCGGGAGGTTGATGGATAATATTTGCGAAGCGCTGGCAGTTGTCGCAGGTTTTCACAAATTGCTTTGCATCCTGCTCGACAGTGGGCCAATAGTACCCTTGTCGAACCACCTTGACCGACAACGACCTGGCGCAAGAGTGGTTTCCACACACTCCCTCGTGGATTTCCCTAAGGATGTAAAGACCTTCTACGGGAGTTACACAGTTAAGCAGAGGCAGGGAGAAGCCACGTCGGTACAACGCTCCATCCCGGAGTATGAACCGAGCTGCTTTCCGCGCCATCTTCTTTTGCTCATTTGAATCTTGAGGCGAAATTCCTTTGATGAACATGACGATTGGATCCATCCATGAAGGCGATGGAGTGTCAATCTCCATCACTTCCGGATCCAGGATTGAAGGATTGTCCAAGATCTCCACTGGGACTGACCTGGCCAGGTCGGTCTCATATGCTGATGCCAATTTCGCCAAGGCATCARCATTGGAATTTTCTGACCTTGGAACTTGACTCACCTCGTAAGTCTCGAATTGGGTGAGGTGCGATCTGACTTTGCTTAGGTATTTTTCCATTCGGAAGTATTTCGTTTGGTACTCCCCCTTAATCTGATTTACAACCAACTGGGAGTCACTAAAGACTTTGATTTGGATGGCCCCCAGTCCTTTGGCAAGGCGTAGGCCTACCAGAAGTGCTTCGTACTCAGCCTCATTATTTGAAGTCTGAAAGTTGAACCGTAGAGCATACTCAAATCGCTCGCCGCCTGGTGCGAGTAAGAGGATTCCTGCCCCGCACCCTTTCTCATTGGAGGATCCATCAACGTAGATTGTCCATAGAGGGTCAGACTTGGCCAACTGAGGTGGTGGGGTGAGCTCCGCGATAAAATCGGCCACTGCTTGCCCTTTCAATGCAGTTCTTGGCTCGAACTGGATTTCGTACTCGCTTAGCTCCATTGCCCACTTCATCAGGCGCACTGATGTTTCTGACTTATGGAAAATGTTCTTTAGGGGCAAGTTGGTAAGTACTACGACGGCGTGCACTTGGAAGTACGGCCTAAGTCTCCGGGCCGAGGTGACTAAGGCGAGGGCCAGCTTTTCCATTTGGGGATATCTGGTCTCGGCCTCAGTCATGGCCTTACTGGTGTAATAAACGGGACTTTGGCGCACTCCCTCCTGCTTGATCAGGACAGAGCTGACAGCGCTGTCAGACACTGCGAGGTATAAGTGGAGCTTCTGTCCTAGCAATGGCTTTGCGAGTAGAGGTGCCGAGCAGAGATAGTTTTTCAACTGCTCCTGTGCTTGCTGGCACTCTACCGTCTATTCGAACGGTCCCTTTTTTCTCAGAACTTTGAAGAAAGGAAGGCACTTATCTGTTGACCTCGACACAAACCTATTCAGGGCTGCAATCCTACCATCGAGGCACTGAAGCTGCTTCAGAGTCTTGGGTGCCTCCATCTCGAGCACGCCCTTTATCTTCTCTGGGTTAGCTTTAATCCCACGGTTGTTTACCATAAAACCAAGGAACTTCCCTGAGGAGACTCCAAAGGCACACTTGGTCGGATTGAGCTTCATTTGGTACTTGCGCAGTACTCCAAAGGCTTCGGTCAGATCGGAAAGATGCGACTTTGACTGCTTGCTCTTGACAAGCATGTCGTCCACATATACTTCCATATTCCGACCGATCTGCTTGGCGAACATTTTGTTCACCATCCTTTGGTAGGTCGCACCCGCATTCTTTAGGCCAAAAGGCATCACCTTGTAGCARTACAGACCTTGGTCTGTTATGAACGCGGTATGATCTTGGTCTGGCAAGTGCATTTTGATTTGGTTGTATCCGGAGTAGGCATCCATGAAGGTGAGTAGCTCGTGCCCGGCCGTTGCGTCCACGAGCTGGTCGATCCTCGGCAGGGGGAAGCAATCTTTTGGGCATGCCTTGTTTAAATTCGTGAAGTCCACGCACATTCTCCACTTCCCATTAGCTTTTTTAACTAATACAACATTAGAGAGCCACTCGGGATGCAGAATTTCTCATATATATTCGGCTTTTAAAAGTTTGTTAACTTCCTCAACAATTACATAACTCCTCTCCTTATTTACAGGTCTTCTTTTTTACTTTACAGGTCGGAATGATGGGTCTATGTTGAGGCGATGCACCATAATCTTTGGGTCGAGGCCTGACATGTCCTCGTGAGACCATGCGAAGACGTCCGAGTTGGACCTGAGGAAGTTGATCAGCTTCTCCCTGTCAGTGGCCCCCAGCTTGGTTCCTATGCTTACTTGTTTTTCAAGGCTAAGTAAGGGAACAAGCTCGAGCTCCTCTGTTGGTGGGGAGAACTGCCTTTTGCTTTCTCTAGGCAGGTCGGCCTCGGACTCTCGCAGCTCGTCTTGATTGGTTTGTTTTTCCAGGGTATATACAGACGATCCTTTAAGCGCGGATGCATAACACTCCCTTGAAGTCTTTTGCTCACCTCGGACCGTGCCCACTCCATTTGGGGTTGAATACTTCAGGACTTGATGTAGTGTGGAGGGGACGGCCCGAAATGAGTGGATGATGGGTCTCCCGAAGATGGCGTTGTAGGCCGACCTGCC